TTTTTATAAAATTCTGAAATTATTTAATGACATTATTATGTTTAAAAATATTTTCTATGAAGCGCATACTGCTCTATTTCCTTTTTGCTCTCTCTTTATCTCCCACTTATAAGTGCTAGGGTATTCTCTATTCAATATTATATATATTTTGACATTTTTTGACATATTTCGCTCCAAAATAATTTACTTAATTGTTACACCGTGCGTATAATTAATATTGTTTTACATTTTATGACAATTCCGATTCCCTATCCGCTTAATTTGCCTGTGTGTGTGTGAGTGGGTGGCTGTCTGTGTGCGTGTGCTAGTAATACGTGTTAATGTGTGTGTGTGTTGATTTTAATGATTTTTATGTGTGTGTGGGAGCGTGCTTATCAATTTGCTTAACGGTATCCTTTCGCATTTCATTAGCGAGCGCATTTCTTATTGTTGTTGTTGTTGTTGTTGCTGTTGATGTTGCCGTTGTCGTTAACGCTTTTACGAGCACACGCATTTAAGCACCTGCATACACGCACATTTGCCATATAAACACACGCACACACGCTCACGCACACACATTCGCATTAATTCTGTTGGCTTCCGTTTTTTTCGACATTTTATGCGCACAGTTTTTTCTCTTTTCTCTACGATTTTTATGTTTTTGCAGTGCATTTTATTTTATTTGCTGAAAACAACAAAAACGAAAAAAAAAAAAACAATAAAAACAAAAATATTGAATACAGTACAAATAGAAATAGACTACAATAAAAAACATAATTTATCCCATCTATCACGCCTCATTGAATTATTTTCTTTCTTCTTGCTTTTGTTTTTTCTCTTTTCCGTTTGTTTGTTGTTTCTTTTTCCACAGGATTGGCTGGATCATCATAAAATCCCCGATAGAGGAATTGCTCAATGCATGTATAATTTGCACAAGGTTTTTATTGATTTCATTTAACTTTTATTATGATTACGACTAAGTGTTCCTTTTCGCTCACAAATTTCGTTATGTAGCCATTTAAGCGTCATGTTCAAGCTTGTATTATCATGTTACAATATTCACACGCGCGTAATGCATAAAATAAAAGCTTAACGAGAATTTTAGAGGCTCAATTTTTGTGGCATCATTTTACGATTACCTTTTTTTTTTAGGTCCTTTGAGGCAGAGGAAAGAAAATTTGTTGAAATGTCTGAGCAAATGTTTTAGGCATTTTAATTTAAATTGAGGCACATTTTGCTGCCAATTTGAAATAGACTCTTAGATAAATCCTAAATAATGTGTTGAGCTGATAAGCCATAAGCCTTTTGTAAGTCTCCTTAAATTCAGGGAAATATTTCTCAGAATTTAATAGAGACTTTTGTACTTTAGCGTTTGCCTAGTGCCAGCTCAAACATGAACTTTTTTAATATATTTTATATTAGAACATAATTAAAATGCACCTTATAGCATATTGCACTTGCCGTCATTCATTATGTCACGCCCTTTGTTGCCAACGAGCTGAGCCGTAAATTATGATATTCAGCTGGCAGCTAGGCTAACTACCTGCTTACAACAAGCTGCTAATTAAGTTGAAAATTATGCAACAATACAAAAGAGACGAGCACACACACATGTACACTCACTCTCATACATGTGACCAGAACAGAGATGCCAGCACGTTCACACACACACACACACACACACACATGCACACTTTTTCGGAAGTGCTGGCAATTTAAAAGCGCAAACCGCTTTTGTTCTTGCGTAAAATGCTAGCCAGGTTTGCTGGTAAATGATTGCCGTGCAATGAGTGTCTGTGTCATGAATACCCAGCCAAGCGACTGGCTATAGGGCATATTGGATTTGGCTAGAAATGAATTAATATGACTTTTTTTATGATCAAGAGTGAATATGGTTTATATGGAACTTAGTTCTTGAATAAATGATATTGATAAATAGTCATATCTATGTGGAAAGCAAAGGGCATTTTAAAATAATATAATATAGGGTATTTTAAAAAGTATTTGATCTTTAAATATTTTATTAAATAATATTTCTAGCTGTTTGCTGTCTTTCATAGAGATCTTAATTTAAGAACATAGTTAAGAGGATATCTTGTAGTTGATAATCAGTATATAATATATTAAATGTTATTTCAAGGTGTATGCTGTCTTTCATAGCGATATTTTATTAAGATCATATTGAAGGGTATCTATATATAATCAAGGCATGTTATACTTCAGGGGGTATCTAATAGTTGACATTTTTTCTTTCTTCTTCAATTTTTCAATTCTTCTTCAATAAATATAGCACACTTTAGAGGGCATCTCATATAAATTTGGCTGAAATTAGAGAGTATCTAATGGTTGACTATAATATTTGCTGTGTAAGATTAATGATAGATATGAAAGTGTGCATAAATTGTTCTAGTAGTTGGAAATGTGAGCATATAAAGCATATTGATTATATCTAAACATAAAACAGAAGGAATCCCCTGCTACAACTGAGAAGAACATTTAATAAAACTAGCCTAAACAAGCATTATGTCTAGGCTATAAACTCTCTAAAAAAACAACGCAATACCAAGGGTATTATCTAGCTTATAATCATATGTCCGCACAAGCAATTGAAGTGCCTTTTAATTGTCGTGAATTAACCCAAGAGTGAGTGAGACGGAGAGAGCAGGGGGCAAATATCTATTTGATCTCGTGCTCCCTGTCGCACAGTTGCTCACGAAAAGCAACACTCACAACGGATATATATCGTAATGGAATCAAATTAAGCTGCAATTTGATAAATGGAGTGTTTGGGTAAATGTGTGTGTGTGTGTATGTGAGTGCAATAATTGAGTTGACTGGCTGGCCAAATGAAATGATGTATTAAACGAGCGCTGTTCGCTAAGCCAAACTCATGCCATATCGTTAACTAATAAGTTGGCTTAATCTAGCGTAAATATGCACACATTAATTTCATATATACACACATATACATATACATATATATGTAATTTCGTTTTTGTTGCATTAGGATTGGTGGGACTCGAAGCTGCCCGAGGACAGCGTCTTGTGCTGCCTGAGTGTGATACCCAAAGTGCTGCTAGCTGGCGCGATTACCTTGATGGATGAGGCCTATTTTAAGCTGGCCGTTTGGCTGAACGATAAGGGTAAGATTTGTTTACATAATAAACGAATATATATAATATAATGTGCTATACTTTTTATAGAAAACTATCGCCTGCAATCAAAGTACGAGAATCATTTGATAGCGAAAGTTGCGCTATTTCAATTCGTCAACTCGTTCCTTTCGCTCTTCTACATTGCCTTCTATCTGCGGGATGAGGACAAGCTGAAGGAGGTTTGTGCATAAACATCATTAAATATCTATGCAGTTCTCTTTTGTTTTCACGTTCTCTGTGTTTCCTTTAGCAATTGGCTGGCTTGCTCATCTCACGTCAAATTATTGGCAATCTACGCGAATCGGCCGTACCCTATGTCCTCGAGCAATGGAAGCTGGCCAAGTTGAGCTTCAATATGTGGGGCGCTCTGAGCCCCACACAGCATGTTAATCGCAGTCTGGCCGAGGAGCTGGCCACTGCCGAGGAGAAGCTCAAGGCTGAGGCGGCTGCCACAACGAAAACTACAGCACAGCAGGAGCAGCAGCAGCAGCAATCGGCCAACAAACGTAACATTGGACAAGCCGAGATTGAGAGCTCTCTATATAAAGTAAGGAATTCTTAGAAACAATTGATTAGATAAGCTTTAGATGATATGGGAAATGTGTTTAGGGATAGTTAGCGAGATATATGTATGATAATAATGAATATGTAAAGGATAACCGTCAATTGAGTTGCAAGTTATAAATTAAGAGATGT